ACATTTGACTTTGATCTTCACTAAAATGAAGAATGAAAAAAATGATGCATACTTCAAAAACATTTTTAGAATCCGTATGCTTAAAGGAGCCTGAACTGAAACAACAACATTACGAGGAGCCAACAATATACCTATCTGTTCACACAGGCTTCAATCAACAGTGTCAGCGTGTCTCTGTCAATATTTCTGCACCAGCCGTCAGGGAATGCTGCTCTGGTCAATTCCATCAGAAAAAATGGGCCGTGAGGAAAGTGGGTCAGGAGCTAATTCTGAGTGTCTTTCCCCCATACTCTCTCTCCAGTAACAAAACCTTCCCTTGTCCGGCCTGCAAACGTAAGTCTGTTGACATCGTCCACCTCCTATTCTGAAGACTGGATCACCTACAGCAGGAGATGGCTATCGCTGTGACCTGTCTGAGGCCGGGGAACACAAAGCAAAGGTCTCGGCCTAAGGACCACGGAGGAGAGACGATACAGATGGGAAATTGAGGGAAACCAGGGTTTAGATATGGGAAGCACACTCAGCCTGAGGTATAAAGTATGGAAGTTAATGGGGAGGGGTAGACATTGTATTTGGAGACAGACGTGGGGGTTTGTAAGCCGAGTGCGGAGGGCTACGGGGCGCAGACTGTGGTATGGAAGTAGCAGGGCCGGGAGGGGAAACAATAGCTAATGGATACGGAGGAAACCCCACAGGTCACGGGAGTGCAGATCACATGCTGATAGGAGGCCTTGTTGCTGGGTGTCTCATTTTAAAATGCACTTAGGGGGCGATATACACATAGTGAGGTTTTTAGCTGTTAAAATAAGCATTTTAGCAGGAAAATCCTCAAGGACCAACCTCCTTCCTCAAGCATTTTCTCTGTGCTAGTATAGGGTTGCAGGACCACACACAAACAAACAAGTGTGTACAGGCAACTCACAAATATGCACTCATATCTGTGTCATCAAACACACATGCCAATGCGTATACATACAAATACACAAGCAGTCGAGTTTTACAATCTTTCAGCTCATTGTTTCGGTTTTATGGCCTGTAACTGTTTCGGTTATCGTGTTGTTTCCAGTCGTAGCAGACAGATGCAATCCGTAAATAAAGCTCTAAAAAACAACTGTATGCTGCCTTACCAGCAGCAAACAGCAACCAGACACAGTTAGCAGCTAGTCAGATATTTCCCTCAGAAGTTGGTGGAGACCAAACCAGAGCTAAAAGAAGCGTGTGAATATTGGATATTTGTCATAAGAAATAAAATATATCTCCAAATGAATTTCCATATTGCTCCGTATCTGCTGGATATCCAAATAGTTAACTCTTTTCTGACACGTTCTCCGTAATACATTTATAAGATAATAATATGTCATGTGTTTACAGCTTGTGTGTGTGTTGCTAATTTACCTGATAGCTAAGCTTCATAAAAAGTAAAATGATGATTTGGGACTTTGGTGTAAAGTTACAATCAAGACTAGAGAGGGACTCAGGGTTAGATAATTTGGGATAGTAGCAATATACTGTAGATGCACAGTAAATGTGTGTTTTTACATTACACATGGAGAGAAAAGGCAATATAAGCAACACACATGATTCATAGGGAGGTTTAGGGAGACAGAAATATGCAACACAGCAAACAATTACAGTGAAACAAATCAAGATGGAAAATAAAAATCACTGTGGGGGTCGAGTTACAGTTTGAATGGTCAGAAAAGACGGCAGAGGGCAGACAGACAGAGGAAAAATGAAAAGGGAGAGGTGAGGGAAGGCTAGGACTCCAGCCAAATCCACTTCCAGACTTGTTAAAGCACTGCTGCACACCAATGCAATATTCAACACTCGCACACATGCTGACTTACTAAGCCCTGAGTTAATAAGGGACCTCCTAGCATCACAAACCTTTAATGTATGCACTCTGGTGGGCCTCCACATGCACACACACACGATACCGCCACAACAAGCCACCGTCATTAAGCTATAAAGGTTTATTGCAAGTTAATTGCTGAGCCAACTGCTTTTCTGTGTGAGGTATCTTATGCATAACACAGGCAGAAGTAGTAGAGGGTTTCAAAGTCTCACACACACACACACACACACACACACACATATATAAACATACCCATGACATAGACACATAGACAGACTGAACCCTCTGACACTTCAAGCACTTTTACGCAAGTTAAAAGAAAATGTCAAGGGAGTGAGAGACTTTACAAACAGCTAAATCGGTTAAACATCAGCATGACACCTCCCTCCAGTCAGACATATTAAAAACATATTTACAGACATGCAAGGGACACACCAAAAGGATTCACAGGCCTTAGGTCGAGATTACACACAGCTTCCCCGAGCGCTTTCCAATAACGTGAAAATCTGTCGGATTATGTTTGTTTTTTTATAATCCTGGACTGCAGTGAAAGTGTAGAGAATGTGTCAGTGTGTGTTTGGTTCATGCCGAGGTCATTTGTAGCTTATCAGCTGCTCTAAAATAGCAGCACTCTTCTAAAATATCTTTGAGTGGCAAGTATTACCAGAGCAGTAGTAGTGTTCCCGTCAGCGTGTCTGAAACAATGTAGAGCGGGAATGAACAGCTGGAACAAAACAACGTCCACGTGCTCGACTCAAACTCCCACTAATGAAATGTAGCAACGCTTCAACTAGAAGGGCCAATGTATATACATATAATGTATATAATGCACATATAGGGTTAATTGTACATGAATAGTGTATTCACTCAGAGTTAACTTCAGCCAATGCATGAGTGTTTGCCAGATGCATTTATGTTTATTTTTCCAAAATTAATTTTCAGTATTCTATGATGAAACCATTCATTTCTGTAGAGTAATGCACTGGAGAGTGACAGATTATAGTTATTGTTGTTGATCAAAGGTGGGGCAAAGTAATTGTTTTGCAAGTAAGTCATGAGTAAATCTCAAGTCTATGAAGTGCCAAGTCAAGACCAACAAGTCCCGAGTTGAGTCGAGGTCTTAAACTTTGTGTTTCAAGTCTTAAACAAATGTATTATCTGTCCTCTGCTGGTCACAAGTAAGCCTCAAGTCTTTGCACTCAAGTCCCAAGTCCCAACCTTTGAGTTTGGAGTCCTAAACATGTGCTCTTCACCAAATGTAATGCCATTTTAACAACAGAGTAATAATATATTAAATTTACAAAAAACATGAATGCTTTTTAAAATTTGTATTTATTTGCTAAAACAAGTTTTTAAAACAAGTGCGACAGAAAAAGATTTGGCGAATTGAGTGTTGACTTGCTGTGAGTTAATATCATAAACGTTAGGTGATTCAGGAAATGAATTGATTCGTGCCACACTTTTTAAATGACATACTTTGTAATCTTTCGGCTTGGGGGATGTAATCAAGTGTTTTAAGTCAAAAGGCTCAAGTCCTTGTGAAGTCAACAGTCATTGGTGTTAAAGTCCAAGTCGAGTCTAAAGTTATCAAATTTGTGACGAGTCTGACTTAAGTCCAAGTCATGCGAGTCCACACCTGTGCCGAATATACCTTTCCTTCCTGTGTGCACAACTTGATTGGATTGGCTGCTTCTTTTCAGTAGTATTAAGTATTTCAATTTTAGCTGGCAATGAATTTCATCATTGATTAGTTGGCTTTTTGTTATGATGATTGGCACGCGCTGTGTCTCCGTGCCAGCCAATGTTTGCAAATTTGATTTAAAGCACATATCATGGCATGCATTCCCTCATACACACACCCACATTAGTCACACTAACAAAATACATCAAAAGATACACGCTAAGGATGATTTCAAAGACCTACAGCCTGATGAGGAGACCCCCGGCAGAGAACACAGGTATTAACACCAGTAGTTCTGGTTTAATCTCCTACAGAGGAATTCCCTGTTTATCTGGCAGGGAGCAGACTGAATGTCAGCTATGTGAGCAGAGATATGTTCATATCATATCCTGTCCCTTTGCAGCTAAGACACGGCCCACACAGGAGGACACACACTTGATTGATTAGACAGGATTTCTGTCAAAAAGCTAACGTGTTTCCTCATATCAGAGGAGAAAAGAAACACTCTCAAGTGAGAAAACAAACCCGAAGCACGAAAGCCCAAACAATGACACTAATCTACACTCAGTGCTGCCATGTTTGTATGAAATGTTTCTGTCTGTCTCTCTCGCACACACACACACACACACACATTCAACCTCGGTGTACGCCAGCAACGACATCACCTCTGACCTCCTGCAGCCTCTGGGGCCTCATTACCCAGACTGCACCTCTCCTCCGTGGACTATTGACAGTAATGTGACCCTTGCTGTGGTCATCGGAGACACCCCGACATGTACACAACACACACACACACATACAGATAAAAACACACAAAAATAAACAATCCTGCAGCACGGCGAATGTGAGACATCTTGCCGAGTTGCCGTTAAATACAGTCGCCATGACGCCTGTGCATGTCAATCAAAAAGGGACACTGAGGATAAGAGATATGGACAGGGGTCAGAGTTGGACTCATTAATCATCTCCTCAGACTCTCATATCACTGTCTCTGGGAACTTGAGTCCCCGAGGAAAAATCCCAAAAAAAAAAGAGACAAAAATTCAATCACCAAACGCAAAAACACATTCATGCTCTTCTTAAAACAAGAGATATTTCTAATAAGAACATCTCTGTTTTTATTCTGGTGAAAGTATGATAAGCTTCCGATTGTTATCACAAGACAAATTCCACCAAAACAAAAACTTTAAAGCATAAAGTCTTTGTTTTTTTTGTATGAGCTCGCCCGCATATCTTTGTTTATGCACGTGAATATGCATGTGTTTACAGGCACGGCCGTGTGTGTGTATGCGCATGTGTTATAGTAGAAACAGTATATCTTCTGGGTGGTTGAGGTTTGTCACACCGGCTGGGAATCCTGTGGGAGGCATTCTCCGAAGTCCAGTTTTATCCCAAAGCGGGAATGCAAACAAGCCAACTGAATGGATACTGAACGCACACAAGACACTCCCCCCCCCCCAATACCTGCGGATCCGCTGGTCATCCTGGCAGCAGCCTGACAAAAGAGAAGAAAAAAAACACAGTGAGAACCAAAACAAGAGCAGTACAATACACACTCACTCATGGATTCACATGAGCACTCTCAAGCTTTGGAGAATGTAAATTCAATGTCAGCCAAAGGCAAAGACTCCTTGATACACACTCTCCTATAACAGCAGCAACAGTAGCTACGCTGGGAAAATGACCCACGTTTAAAATGTGGTTCAACCAACAGAAACAGACGTCCGAAGTGTGTATGTCATACGATCATATTAAAACCCACCAAGCCCTAACGGCTTATTTGTTTGAATGTCAACCAGAGTTTGAAATTGGAAATTGGAAAGGATATTGTGTGTGTGTGTGTGTGTGTGTGTGTGTGTGTGTGTGTGTGTGTGTGTGTGTGTTTCAGTGATCTCTTGGTAATCAAAATAGATGATGGTGCCTGGTGTAAAAAATAACAATAAGTGTAGACGAAGAAAGAGAGCGAGGGTCGACAATAGGATCAAGAACAGTAACGTTAAAACCCACCAGCAACAACCCATGACGCAAATATTCAACAGCTAGAATATTAACACAGTAAATGAAAGCTTAGACTCTGATCACGAGGCGTACATCATACACATATTAAGTCCCAGAATACACAGGAATTGAAAACAAATAAGGTCAGGGAACGTAATGTTCCATATTTATTCACTTACCCGTGTGTAAAACATAATAAAAACACAGACTGTGCAACATGAACACTGCCACTGTTATAGGAAAACCCCACATCCTTACAAAGCATGGGATTGGGAGCAAGAATTTGCCAAATGATGCACCTGCACTTTTGCAATTACACAGGAAATTCCACATTCACAATGGGCTTCCCCCAGCCCTGTGATCATATAATGTACAAATTTGCAATTATTTAATTATTTATTAGTGAAAAATATCTCTTATCAACCAGAGGAAACAAACCATCACTCAATTCAATTGTGTGCTTGTAAAATGAGGATTGATAAACAATGTAGAATTCTTACTCAGGTATATTATTAACCATCATATTTCTCAAGCAAAATGTAACTAGACAAAACCCTAAAATTGACACAAAAGCAATCCTTTAAGTGTGGATAGCTGACTGCAGTAGCTGGTTTCAAGTAATGATCAGAGGATCAACAAACAGCAGGTACGAAATAGCAACAATCTCACCAAAACAAAGTAAAGGTTAGCAAACAGTGAGAATGACCGAGTCGTCCAATCATCACTCGGAAATATTACTGTACTACAGGTGAATATTGACCAATGATATGATCAATGCTTGCTTTCAAAAATAAAATGACAACAATGACAACAATATATTCAAAAACAACTGAATTACTAAAATCCTTCTACAAATATACAGAATATGTTCTAAATTTGGAGCCGAGAAGAACAGTATGTATCTGTGTGTGTGTGTGTGTGTGTGTGTGTGTGTGTGTGTGTGTGTGTGTGTGTGTGTGTGTGTGTGTG